AATAATTCTATATATAAATAAGAATATAAAACTACAAATTTTCGTAATTAATAGAATTTATCATCAAAACGATAGAAATATCTAAACCATATCAAAATATCATACTTCTATTCATTTAAAATTTTTCCTAGATCATAAAAAAATCTTATCGATTATTATACCGGTAAAGACCCTTAAATAATAAAGATAATCAGAAGAAGGCAAAGACAGAACAAGCCAAGGAAGCTCCTCCGCGCGCGCCGCTACGGCCCGCAACTCAAATGGCCCCCCACAGAAGAATCCAGAAGAGCTTACGCCACTGCGGCCCAGCACCTTGAGTGAGTCGCCCGGAAGAAATAAGAAAATATTTTCCGTGCGCGCCATCGCCCCGCCATACTATGTCACTACGCTCCGCAACCTATACGAGCCTCTCAAGAGAAGGCCAGAACCACATATTATTGCTATAACCTAAGAGGATCCCCCGGTAATCAATCCTTCTCCGAAGAAGTCAGAAGACAGCATCGTTTTGCCCCATAATGAGAGCAGAAGAGACGAAAGAAGATTCTATTATATTCAACAAAAAATCTCATATACTGATTAGAGAATAAAAAGGTCATTTTATCCGCCTAATTCCTGATTCAAATTGGGCATAGAAGACTGCTCTCGTAACTCAATGACCCCTATAGAATATATTCATCTAATTATAAAGCCTTTCGATTTACAGCTTCCACATTCTTATAAAAATGCGTTAATTATGAATCGCCAAATCAATGAATGAAGCTCCGCGGATTCAATAATTATACAGATAATCGCCATACGTACATACATATATAATATATACATACATATAGAAATATAGGCACGTGCAAACATGTATCCAAACCTATATCTTGGTTGTGGATCCGGGTTTCTGAGTCCGAGTCCTGGGCTTAATTCGGGGTGGTGGCGAGCTTGAATGAAATCGTGGCCCGGGGTCTCGTTATCACAGCTGATAGAAAGAACAGGGGGGTCAGGATATCCAACGAATCTGCCGGATTCGAACCGACAGTTCTACAGCACCATCTCCGAAGAGCGAACGTCGGGCCCTAAGGTTCGACTGCTGGCGCCAACATGTTTTGAAAAATACTTGCCGGCAGCATGTACTAAGCAAAATTTCAGAGGAGAAATCTCGAACCTCTTGGAACGTTGCCAGCTTGCGTCTGCATCTCCTAAGTGTTGACAGGGATCTCTGTGAGAAACTAACACACAAAATTTCCCTTCGCTCTCCTAGTCTTATTTGTTCTTTTGGGCCATTCGTCGTTCCGAAGACCGGGACTTGTCGTCTTTGTCTTCAGGACCTTCTTGTACGCTTGGTCGTTACATCATCCAAGAAGAACTCTTCTATTTGATAAGAGTATTATCGACTCAGAAGAACTACTGTGGAGGCACTGACAATGATGTACCAGGCAATCGCTTCTTGAGCCAGGCAGACGACTTACTCATGACACAGCTATCAAGTTTTGCTGGTTGCGACAAATGCTACCTCCGAGTGCTGGACGTGAATTCCGGTACTCGCACTCGACTATTGACATGGACTGCGGCCGCTGGTTTTAAACCAAGCGAGCTGCTTCAACTGTGGTGAAGCGGCGAGCTGCGCCAAATGCACGCACTCGCGTGCACAAGAGGAACACGATCCAAAGTAGCGTTCTGGTGAGTAGAACTACAGTAAGTCTAGTTTGTTGCTTCAGCCAAGTTTTTCTGGACGGTCGTTTCCAGCGTATCCCAGTTGTGGGATCTGTGCAGGAATGTGAAACCACGAGCCAGGAACCAGCCGGCACCATGGATGAACGCCTGGGCTGCACAGCAGGCGCAATTTGTTGCGTCGAGTCGGTGTTTTGGAGAGCTTTTGGTTACAGTAGCCAGGCACACTGCGCAACAAGAAGAAGCCGCTTCTAAAGCCCGCAAGCAGCCAAGCTTCCTCAAAACGCCATTGGCTGTGGTGCCGCCGCCTCAGCCTGAGCCTCGTCAGCCTTGGGCTCCTCCGCTTTTGGCTCCTCCGCCTTGGGCTCCTCGGCCTTCGGCTCCTCCGCTTTTGGCTCCTCGGCCTTCGGCTCCTCGGCCTTGGGCTCCTCAGCCTTGGGCTCCTCGGCCTTGGGCTCCTCGGCCTTGGGCTCCTCCTGTGCGTCGGCCGATGCAGCCTCGGGCGTGGCCTCTTGCGACGCCTCCGGCACGGCCTCCGGCACTTTGACCTAGGTCGGAAACATGCATTGCCAGAACTGCCGAGCGCTTGACAAAGGCAGCAAAAAGCAAGAATAAGTGCAAGAATTCTTTTTCTAGTACTTCAAGGAGTTGTGCCTTCTTTCAAGCATGCTGCCGGTCGTTCATCCGAAGGGCAGGCAGGAAGTTGCAGTAAGGCCATCAGCTGTTGAATCGAAGAGGGGACAATCAAACAGAACAACAGCAGTAGCAGCAGCAACCAGTGGCGCACTGATAAAAAAGCCTTGCGCCAGAAACCCCGAACTCTAAACTTCCCTAAACCATATCACCATATCCAAAGGGCAGGTTCCGTTGACTTCGCGAAATCGCTCTTGTCCCGGGACATCGCTGCAACGTCCTTTCCATCCTCGCGAAAAGGTGCTGAAAACTGCACAAACATGGAATAACATACGCCAACATGCAGATTCTCCTCAAACAGTGTGGTAACACTGTGGGGTTATCAGGTTCATGTGCTCAGAGTCATGGCTCTCCGGACCCACGTCTACCGCTGTGTACTTTGCGCTGGGGGAAGGGACTCGGGGTGTCACTTTTATCGCAAGCTACGGGGGGGCGGGGAAACACGAGGTTCGTGCTCCCGAGACACGCCAGTACTTGGGGGAGAGAGAGCGATCCCGCCGTGCTCCCGAATCCTCCTAAATCCCGCCAGCACTTGGCGGAGAGCCTTCCTGGCGCGTGATCCCCCATGCGCCAGTATCTGGCGGAGCACATTCTGGCAGTGTCCACTAACGGTCTCCTGCTGTCTCCTGGCGTCTCTCGGTGTTCTCTTGGTGTCCCGGTGGTCTCTGCGTGGTCGCTTGGTGGTCTCCTGATCGTGGCCGGCCTGGTCACGGTGCTCGTTTAGGTGCTCGTCGTGATGATCGCCTGGTGTTCTGTTGGTGTACATTGTACATACTGAAAGACACAGGTGGCGACCTGAACTCTCTTGAGCATAGCGAGCCACAGGCCCGGTGGTCGTGACTTCCTTTCCTCATGGTGCCGTTCTTTCACTGGTAGGGGGATCTCCGCTGGCATAGTATTTGCAATTCTACACGGAAACTATTCCCTGGTCGGCAGAGGTAGGCCGCGTGGGCTCCAAGTCTCAAGGCTCTGTCAGGGGCCTTCCAGTTCACCCAGTCGCCGCCGTCCGTCATCAACTCGAGCTCTTCGAGGATCCTCGAATCCGCTTATAGGGCAAGTGCAAAACGCGCGGCAGAGGGATGAAAGCTCCGTACCCTTCCCTCTCGCCGGCTCGATGGGTGAGCCCGGTTACCTTCAAAAGACCTTGCAAACCTAGAGAATTCAGCACCCTACAAGGTCTAGGCAAAGCTGCTGAGCGACTTAGCCATCATCCCCCAACCTAGACACCCTGATTACAAACTCTACTTGTAGACACCTGGCTGCTTTCTCGCTGAGGAGAAGGCTGGTCATTGGAATACCCAGCGACCCGGACCTCGGAGCAGAAGATGCAGCGGTCACAGACTCGCAATCTGGAGCCCTGAGCTCTGAAGAGCTTGGCTGCAGGCCTGGTTCCAAAATCCGACCCATTCTGCCTTGATGCAAAGCCCCGTTCTACGACTTTCTCTCATCAGCACTGGCTCGCCTTTGTGATGCTTCCGTTGCCATCGTCGTCCACTTCATCAAACATGGCCTTCGCATTCACCTTGGAAGGGCTGGGAAGACCACAACGCTTGGGAGTGTCAGGACACGGCGCCTTCGCAAAACTGCTGAAGAACTTGTGGGCCTAAAGGCGGACTGAAGCGTGCTCGGATACGAGCTCTGCCACACGCAGCTGCGATTTTGCAATCGGCCTCCTCCTTCGTAATGGTGCCACTCGTGTCTTTGTCCATCTTGTCGAAAAGTTCCTGGAGCAAGACAAGCAATCCTAGCACAATGGCTTCAACGCCCAAGACGACTTGACCAGTCCTCAACCTTGGACTTTGCATCCGCAGAGAGCGTTCGCATGCCTGACAAGCACAGTAATGCTTCTGGCACGGAAGTGTGCAACCAGGGCCCAGGCCAGCACTACCACCGCAGCCCATCTTGCGTAATGCTACAAAGCTCGCCGAGGGGAGGACGTGCTGGAAACGGCTACAGCTACAAAGCAAAATGCCAGGAGGTCGATCCGTCAAGTGGAACCCCGTGCTCGTGTGCTAGTGGAGCGACAGGGTCGTTCCGCTTTCCATGTTCCGCACCTACAAGTAGCATCTTTCGAGCAGCTCGCAGCAGCTCAGCAGCCACTGGCCGTCTCCAGCCGGCCTAAGAAAAAGCCTTTCTTTGCCTTTGGCAATCTTCACGGAGAAAGGGTGAAACACTGCGACGGCGACGGGCTTCGACTATTGCCGTGCGGACGACTCGAGTGAAGCGCCGGCCTCTGGTCCATGAGCAGGTGTGCGACGCGGGCCTGACCTGCTGTCGCTGCTGTCCTCTCCATTCCTCTCCTACCAGATTCTGCGCAAGAGGCCGATGGTATGCGTAGGTCTTCGTCGAAGGTCTTCAGGTCTCAAGGCCGGACCAATGACGTTGGTATCCCTCTTGCCAACTTGCACGGCATCGCAGACATCATGAGCAGCGCTGCATCCAAGCCCTGCTCCTTCGAGGCCAACCTGATCCGCTGATGATCACTCAGATGACGATCTTGATGGGGGCCGCCCGCGGCATTGGCTCGTGTTCTGCAGAGCTCAGACCCCAGTGCCACTAAGACTAAGAAGTGCCAGAGTGAATGCCGCAGCCAGCCGGGCCAGAACACGCTGCTGGCTGCAGCCGACTTCCACATCGGGGATGGGCTCCTGTCAGGAACGCCTCGTTTAGTGCCCAACTTCAAGATTTTAAGGCTTCGATATGCGAGCTGCAGGCTGATCCTCATTCTCGCTGGGACCGAGAAGAGGAAAGCGGAGAGCCTCCGCGCCTGCCAGGGCGAAAAGCATCTGGGAAGCGGCAGCTTGAGCCGTCGACAGGTTGAGACCAGGACACTCGAGCAAGTAAGTTGGCGGCAAATGTCAAGCATCCTGGGCAATGACGTGAAGAAAGGATGCAGGAGATTCCCGGCTCGCCACTCTGCAGCCGTGGCTCCAGACGTTCTCTGCTGGCTCCCCAGTCAGCTTGACTCCACAACGAATGCTCACGTCACCAGGTGTGACAGTTGAAGCAGCCAGGAGGGTCACAAAGGCCTCTGACTTCGCATCGGACGCAAACATTACAAAGGAATGCAAGTGGCTTTCACGAACTACTCAAGTGCCGAAGCTTCGCAGCTAGAGGCCACAGCGGAGGCTAGACACATGCTAAGCCAAGCCTAGCATGTAGTATGTAAGCTACTCGGCGGCAGCTGCTGCGGATCACATCGCGGTGCTCCCTGCCTGTGACGATGTCACCGTCGGGCTGCCTCGTGCGAGTGGCAGGCCCTCGACAGTCAGCGAAAACTCCTGGCTTTGTGGTCGAAGGAACCGACATTGGTTGTTCTCTTAGGACCTGTAAATCGAACCTATACACCGTCCTCGTCATACTGCACTCCGCTGGGAGGCAGCAAGCGCAGGGCCTCGATGCTCCCGGTGGCAACGGGCATCATCCTGAACACCCCAAGTCCAAGACAATAAGCTGGGAAGACGCCCCAACACGTCTTCAAAAGGCACCCCCAAAAAATAGAAGCAAGCTTTCACGGCTCGCGTCTGATCGAAGCGGAAGGAGATCTCCAGCACCAGCCGCGTCGAGGCAGCGTTTCGGCTGCGCAAGATCCTTGGAATCGGCACCAGCACCTTCCGACTCCCATGCCCGTACCTTCTTCCTCTTGAACACATCCTGAGCACTGTATGTGATGCTACGACTGAAAAGGCAGCAGCAGACGTACACACCACAACCAAACTAGGATCCTCAGTATAAGGAAACCCAAAGTTTCAACCCAACGTCCAGACGAGACTTTGGCTGTCCAGGCTCAAGATTGGGGCGGTCAACGGCCAGAGCCCTGCACTGAGCAAGTCCGGTGCAGCGAGGGAGGTCGCAGCATCCACCAAGCCCCTGCCGAGCTGGGGTAGTGGGATTTATGCTCTCACACTCGGAATACTCGTCCCGGCATCAACAACCATCACCTCGCATGCCCAGAGTTCACATTGCATTTGCTGTCGCCAGCCAAGACAAAGACTGGGCGTTGAGGCATGCTTCAGCCAAGATATGGGGATTTGTCAAAGAACAGCACCGGAGGACGTAGTGGTGTGAACAAATTAACTCCTCAAGCCCTAGACACTAGTCACTATAGTCTAGCGACCGTTGAAACGTCGGACCTCAACCCCAGTATAATTACCCCAGTTCACCGCCTCTCGGCAGTGAAGACCTCCACGCGGAATCGGGGGTCTTCCGCTGCATCCGGAAGGGTGATGGCCAAAGCGAAAGCCCAAGATCCCACTGGAAGCGGCTGCGTGAGGAGGACCTCCGTGTGGGACTCGTTTGCCTTAGCTTACGTCCAAGCTGTTGTTTGCCTTGGTATTCAAGCGCCACGCAATCTACATCGAGGCAAAGTTGCTGATTGTTCACAATACGGCCCAAACCGTCTTAAAGACATCGGCCAGCGTGGCGCTCCTCGCACGTCTGCTGCATCTTCGCAGGTCGGCTGGCCATAGCCTTCAGGGATTTCTGAAATTCATGTTGAAGCAAAGGGGGCCTGCCATGAATCTGTGCCGCCTTCTGGTGGGGTGACACGGATGATCCCGACCTGGGACGCGCATGCAAACAACGGACGTAATCACATGCCGGGCCTATGTGGACAAGAGTCTTGTGACTCCTGGTCCAGGCGCATCGTGAAAACCAGCCCAGTCAGGTTGAGCCCCGCCAGGTTGGCCTGGGTTTCCACGAAGAAGATCTCTGCCACAGCCTCCTACGGTGACCACTAAAGCCCTCGCCTCAGTTTCGCGTTAAAGTTTTAGTCTTCACGATCCGAAAAATCGTATTCTGCACTAGTGCGACCAAGATGGCATGCTTCACGCTGCCCCACATGGGAGCCACATTGGCCCCGTCCACGTAGCCCCAGGATTGTGCAGCCAGGTCCTCACCGACCTCTCCATCCGTTGCCAACACAAACCACGCCGTGTCCGTAGTAGTCTCCTGCAAAAACTGACTGAATCTACCCGCTTGGATTTAAAGCAAGCTTACATGCCACTTCACCTGTCTTCCCCCATGCAATATGTATGCGCCACTACAAACGTATACGACTCCGAAGCTCTCAGCCCGTGCGCCGCTCCAGCGAGGCAGCCACTTGGAGCTCGACCTACACAGAGACGCAGAGCTCGCCTAGGCCTAGAAAAGCCTTACGGCGCCTCTGTCGTGAATTAAGGCAGTTCAACCACGAAACCTTCAGCAAAAAAGGTTGAACAACAACTTTAGAGGCTTCCCTAAATCATGGAGGGCGCTTGTGGACCCTGGTGCCTCCCAGCCAGCTGAAAGGTCTTGGAAGCCCAGGGAAGCGATGGATCGGCCCTCGGGGCCAGGCGAAGCATCGCTCAGAACCCAGCCAGGGGGCGGCAGCACCAGGAGCCATGCACTGAGAAGCCTCTCACATCACTGCAGAAGCCCCGAGCCCACCCTTATTCTAGTAAACCTAGGCCCTACGAGTAGGCACCAAACGAAAGAGCAACGAACATGTAACAGAATCCCAAACTTTACTTGTCCTTCCACTTAGGAGCCAGGGCTTCAGAAGCAGCCGCGCGAAGGTGCGGCCACCCGGCGGAGGGCTTCCCATGGAGAGCTGCAGTGACAAGGCGGGCAACGGCCAGGCTCCTCAAGTGCATCAGAATTCCATGCTCTTGGGGACCCGGGAGTGGCTGAGGGGATTCCAAGGGAAGAATTGTACCGCGTTTGCTCGTCATGAAATGCAAGAGAAGACAGGCTAAGCCATGCTAAGCTCACCTCGCAGCGGCAGGCTGAAGCCGAGATCACTCGTAGCCACCTCGGGGGACAGAGTTTCTCCAAGCCCACCACCAGAGAACAGAAAGAGCCTGAGAGCTGCGGCCGAGCTGCGGGCAGCGGTGTAGCATCAAAGACGTCAAGAAGCCAAAAGCTGCCTGGGGGCTCCTCATAGCTGAAGGAAAGCGCCCAAACCTCGTCAAGCTCTTCCGGACAAGGTGAGGGCCACTCGACAACCATGGCGCTTTGCATCGCTTTGCCAAGGCACCGTGAGCGAATAGGTTCGGGGCCTCCAGTTGAAAGAACTGCATCTCAGCAACGGCATTGACAACGAAAGCCCTCTGCCGCGCCTGGCAAGGAGCTCTTCAACGAGCGTCATGCTCAGGCTGCTAGTGGTGAAGGATGTCGCGTTGGCCAAAGGAACCTTAGCCGCAACGTTTGGAGGCAGCTCGGTGTCGCCAAGATACACAAAGTGTAAGACTGCTTCGAGAGACCGTGTGCAGGACCTCTCCTGCAGCGACCTGCAGCTTCACGCCAAGCCGAAGCTGCACGCCATTCACTAGACTTTCAGAAGCGGTTTGCCTATTTGAAGAAGTGGCCTTTCTACACAGCGTTGCACAGCTGTGAAGCCGCCTCGGCCAAGCTTGCGCCAGTCGCCTGGAGCTCCCAGGTTCTCGGAGAGGACAGCGTCAGACGTGCCTGAAGAGGCGCGTCTCCGGGGCTCCTACAGTAGCGTCCTAGCCCGGCAAGTCGAAGCCCAAGTTGCCATTGCTTTGGCTGGCTGCCCAGAGGAGAAGGTAAGCGACAGCCAGGCGGCTTCTCCCAATCCTGCCAGCCATACCGATCAGATGACCCCCCGGGACTCCCGGACTTCTCCGGGCAAGGAGCTGGCAGGCAATGAAGCGATGAGCGCATTCTCCGAAGGCAGAAGCTGACGCCAGAGCGTCGCTTCATGGCACACGATGCCTCAGACGCAGGACCTATACGCTAAGCTCCGGCGCCGCACGGGCAAATTCTGAATCGGATTGACGCTGCTATGGCACTTCCCGGCAACCGAAAGCCGCGAAGTCCCAGCACTTCCTCCATGATGTCGTTAGCACCTTCCGGTCATCACATAACCGATGTTATAACAACCTCAACAGCCTCAGCACAAACGAGAGGAGATACAACAAAAACAGTCACAGTGCATTGCAACATCCAAATGACACGCAACAGCCACAAACTAGAAGCGGTTTTGGCTCAGAGCCCTCCCCTTCCTGGATTCCAGGCCCACCCAGCCTTCGCCAAGCATCGTTGCCAGGTGGAAAGTCGTTGGGCCGCCTCCACGTCCCAAGCGAACGGGACCCAACCTGAAAGCACAGCATTGTGGCCTTTGTCCGAAACCCTCTGCAAGCCTCCAGAGTGCTGGTTAGTCGAAAGAAACCCATGCGTGAGCTTCTTGCTCATCCTCATGCAAGTTATACCCACCTAATTACCCATTTCTTTGTCGCCAACGTGTGTTTCATCCTCACCCCCTAAACCCTAAACCCTAAACCCTAAACGGCCCTAAACCTTAAAGAAGCAGGGAGCCAGATTTTTTGGCGGCTCCAGGGCTGCAGGGCCAGTGCCAGCAAAAGCCGCGGGCCCAAGGCTTCCAGCACGAGGCCTCCCGTAAACGGACAAGACAGGCTTAGTAAGGGCTTTGCTAAGTGTCTTGGGTGCTTAGGGCAAATTCGGCTTTTCGGGTTCGTGAATTTAGAGCTGTCACTTAGGGGCCTCTTGACAAAATGAGCCTCAGCATTAACAACAATAGGGGGTTTGGTACCTAGATAATGGTTTCGCACCACTGCGGAACCCGGTGGATACTAGTTCCAGCCAATCAAGCCCCTAGACTACGGTGCTCCCTGGAGGCGACTATGATTCCCCGAGCCTGGGCTACTTTCCGTGCCGAAGAAGTCGAAGCCCTGCGCTGCATCACGAGTTTTTCCTATTGAATGGGTCCGAGGGTTGCTATGCCTCCTTTTTTCAAGCGATAACAAACTCAGAATGCCGGCATGTACATTTATGGAAATAACCTGTCACGTTGTTCATGCTGGTTCGTGTATCTTTCTACATGCACGCATACACATATGCACACGTAGATACATACATACATGCATGCATACACATGTACACACGCAGACGCGTGCGCCCATCGATGCAAACCTACATAGTAACATCCCAACTTTACACTACATACTCAAAAAGCACAGGTACATTTGCGCAAGTACATGACTTCTTGTCTTCTGTGCAAAAAAAAAAAAGAACACCCAATCGCCACGGCAAGCTACCGGCGGGGAGACAGCCACCAGGCGCAGGTGCGATGCCGATAACCGCGGGCTGAGCTCCAGGGTCAACACGGAGTCGCTGCCGGCAGATTGCGATACCCACGCCTCTTAGAGCACAGGACATACCTTAAATTATAGTAGGATCCTTAATTAAGGGATATTGGAGTCTCTGGGACGGGTACTTTAGGGCTACAGTTTCCGTTCGTTCGGCATCGGCTTCGAGGTTCGAAGTTTCGAGTCGAGTCAGCGTTCACAGGGTTTGGCCTTAACCCTAAACCCCAAACCCTAAACCCTAAACCCTAAATCCTAAACCCTAAATCCTAAACCTTAAATCCTAGACCCTACATCCTAAAACTGCCTGTTGCAGGGTAAGAGCTTCAGCCTGTCGTGTGGCAGTAATTAGGGGTTCTGAGTCTCGGGCTTAGGGTTCAGGGCTCAGTGTTAGGGGGTTTAGGGTTTAGGGTTTAGGGGTTTAGGGTTTATAGGGTTCAGGGGTTTAGGGTTTAGGGGGGTTTAGGGTTTTGGAGGTTATACTCCACAGGACGTTCTGGCCTCACACTGTCTTTCAGTTGTGTAGCTCCTGATGAACACCATGCTTAGTGCTGATTCTGGGCTACGCAATTCTCTAAATTCTCTAGACGAGGAGCACCCAGAGATCCGCAAACTCTGCCAGGAGTCTGTTCTACTCTTTCTAATCTCGACCCCTCCACAACTCTCTCTGCGTGCCTGTACCTCCGCAAGAGCCTTGTGCCCTCGACCCTAAATTGATTTCTATTCCTGAACCGGGTGGTGTTTTATGTCCTCCTTTGTTCGTGGCTATATGCCGACAGCAAGCCCTACACCTGTGCGGAAGAGCTTAGAAACCAGAACCTCCAAACCTCAACAAACCTACTTGGAGGATCATGGGACTTAGTAAGTAAGTTTATAAGCCCCTTAACTGGGGTTATAAGTATAGTTACTCTAGTTATAAGCCTACTTACTAAGTCCCATGATCCTTTAAGTATTTGTGTAGGCCATGGCGCCCTTGGTGAAGCTGGGCGACCCGGATTTAGAGCCTCGGAAGGAGTTCTGAAAGACAGGAGAATTCGTGCCCATGCTCAGTACGTCGGGGCTTTCTGTTTTATGACCCAAAACCCTAAACCCTAAGCCCCAAACCCTAAACCCTAAACCCCAAACACTAAACCCTAAACCCTAAACCCTAGAAAGACAGAAGAAGGCGTGCCCATGCTCAGTACGTCGGGGCTTTGGGTTTCAGAGTGTCGGCGTGTAGGGCCCGCCGGGTAAGTCCCTGAACTTCAGCCCTTGTGTTTAGCATTGAGGCCGATGGTTGCCCTTCTGCTGGCGAGCCTGTCCTTGCATGGCTGCTAAACCCTACAGCCGTAAACCCTAAACCCGAAACCTTAAACCCTAAACCCTAAACCCCAAACCCTAAACCCTAAACCGTAAACCCTAAACCCCAAAGCCTAGACCCTAAACCCTAAACCCCTAAACACCTAAACCGCAAATGCAAAGGGCATCCGGAGACCTGGAAACTTAATGTAGGGGCCCAAATAATTACCCATACTTTTTTTTTTTT